GTCCTCAAGCCCCTCCTGGTTCAGTCCTGGCCCTGTGCCCACGTGCATTTCTGTGGCCTCAGTAATCAGCATCCCTTGGGGAAAAGACGCCTCTCCCCCCTCCCCTCCCAGATCTGCCCTCCCCTGAGGTTGCCAGGGGACCGTGATCTCAGTCTCCACACAGGAACAAAGGAACTCTCTTCCCAGCCCTCCACAGTCGTAGGCACATTTAGGGGCAAAACTAGGGGGGGGAGAAGAAAATTGGACACCTAAGCCCCTTGCAGAGTCTTCGAAGTATGTCCTGGTGGGGCTGGGTATAACCAGAGGCAGAGCATGTGCTTAGAATACTCCAGACTCTATGTCCCATTCCCAGCACAAAGAAAGTAAGAAAGAGAGGGGGGAGAAGGAAAAGGAAAGAAGGAAGGAAGGAAGGAAAGAAAGGAAGGAAGGAAGGAAGAAAGAAAGAAAGAGAGAGAGAAAGAAAGAAAGAAAGAGAGAAAGAGAAAGGAAGGAAGGAAAGGAGGGAAAGGAAGAAAGCCAGCTAGCCAGCTGTTGCTGGCTCATACCTGTAATCCTAGCTATTCAGAAAGCTGAGGTTCAGAAGATCTCAGTTTGAGGCCATTCAGGCAGAAAAGTTCACAAGACTCCAAACTAACCAGCAAAAAGCAAGGTTGGAGGCATGGCTCAAGTTGGTAGAGTACCAGATGAGCAAGGAAAGCAAGTACAGCCCCGAGGCCAAGACCAGATACTTGCAAAAAAGGAAAGAATGCCTTGTACCAGTGCTTGCCTTGCATGCATGAGACCCTGGGTTCGATTCCTCAGCACCACATTAGCAGAAAAAGCTGGAAGTGGCATTGTGCCTCAAGTGGTAGAGCACTAGCCTTGAGCTGAAGAGCTCAGGGACAGTGCCAGGCCCAGAGTTCAGGCCCCACAACCTACCAAAAAAAATCTTTAAAGAATGCCAGGTACCTGTTGATTACACCTATCATCTTAGCTGCTCTGGAGGCGGAGATTTGAGGATCATGGTTTAAAGCCAGCCTGGTCAGGAAAGTCCATGAGACTCTTATCTCCAACTAACCACCCAAAAGCTGGAAGTGGAGCTCAAGTGGTAGAGTGTCAGCCTTGAGTGTTCCAGCTCCAGAACTGATACGAAAAGGAAAGGAAAGGAAAGGAAAATCCTAGCCTCAAGGTAGAAACAGGAGGATCACGGTTTTCAGGCTTGGTGTTCTTGCACCAAGAGAGGGACTGTGGGCCTCCTTTAAGCTCCCTGTCTTGAGAGGGAAAGCTGTGCCTGCGTCAGGATTTCCCCAAATGTCCTGGAAGCTTCCAGATTTCTACCTTTCCCTTGACTTTTCCACTGGACAGTTGTGGAGGGGGCGCGGGAGGGGGGGGCGCTCACATGTGTGCATGTGTGTGTGTGTGTGTGTGTGTGTGTGTGCCAGTACTAGGGCTTGAACTTAAGGTTTCGGGTCTGTCCTGGGTGCTGTCCTTTGGCTTTTTCTGGTTAATGCTCTATCACTTGAGCCACAGCTCCATTTCTGGCTTTTTTTGGTGGTTAACTGAAGATGAGTCTCACAGACCTTCTCCCTATATGGGCTTCAAACTGCAATCCTCAGCTGGGTGCTGGTGGCTCACGCCTGTAATCCTAGCTACTCAGGAAGCTGAGATCTGAGGATCAGGGTTCAAAGCCAGCCCAGGCAGGAAAGTCCATGAGACTCTTATCTCCAATAAAACACCAGAAAACCAGTAGTGGTGCTATGGCTCAAGTGGTAGAGCACTTAGCCTTGAGCTGAAGAGTTGAGGGACAGTGCCCAAGCCCAGAGTTCAGGCCCCAAGACTGATAAAAAACAAACAAATAAAAACCTGCGATCCTCAGATCTTGAAGAGTTAAAAGTGGCTTCGTTTTGAAGCAGTAACCCTTCTGTTGCTCATATTAACCTTGGGCCCACCTGAATTTCAGAAACCATCTTGTTTGTGCTGAAACTGCTAAACCATAGATTACTTGAACAAAGCTACTCTGAAGTCAGGCCCCACTTTGTACTATAGCTGGCCTTGGGTCCCCACAAACTTCAGGAGATGACCAAGCTGGCCCAAGATAAACAGACCACCAATTACTACCTGCTAAGCTTTAACTGCTCTGGAATGTCCAGATGGCCCATTGAGACCCAGCCAGTTTGATAACTCCCTACTACCTCTTATCACCTTGGAATGCCCTGCTGACGCCTCTAGTTGCTGTAAATTTGTCAGTCTGTGATTTTTTTTTCTCTCCTTCTCCTTTTGTAACTTTGTAGTTTTTGCCTTTATAAACCCTGTGACATTTCAGCTCGGGACTCTCCTCCTAAGCTCCGCTGAGTCGGTGTGTGGGACCAGGCCCGGGCTGCAGCCCGCCTGAATAAAGCTTTGCTTTTGCATTTTGGAACGTCTGACTCTCGGTGGTCTTCTTGGTGGGGGTCCTACGACGGGGGGGGGGGTGTACAACAATCTCAGCTTTTTGAGTAGCTAGGATTACAGGTATGAACCATCATGAGCCATCTTGATTTCACTTAAATCTTAGTTTTGATGAAATTTTGGACCTAAGGGTTACTCCAAGCCTCAGAGCTGATACAGAGTCCAGGGGTTCCCCTCCAGCCCAAGCTGGAAATAGGGTCATGAAGCCCAATCCTCATTCTGTCTCTGTGTGTCTTGAAGCAGACTCCTCTCCAAGAAGCAACCCTGAAGTCACGTCTACAGAATGCAATTCCACTCTGAGCCCAGGAGTGTCCCTCAGGCTTGGGAAAGAACCAAAAACCAGGCTCATGGTTCCTTTCTTTGTGTTCCCAGAACCAGAAACCAAGCTCATGGTTCCTTTGGTCATGTTCCCAATCAGTTTTTATTTCCTTACGTAATACTAGTAACCACCCTTGAAAACTTCTGTCACGTTTCAATGAGGAAACTGAGGTCTCAATCAGGTCCGTGACTCACCTGAGGTCTACATTAGAGTCCATACCTCAGTCTTTCTGGTTTCCTTTCTCCTCCTTCTGGCCACATCCCTTCCATTTTCCCCTGGATCTAACCCAAGCCACAGGCCCATCCACCAAAACCCACTTGTGGAAACTGAGACCCAAATGGCCACACACTGGTCAGGACCATCTTCCAAGAACATAAACAGAGTGCTAGGACCTGATCCTAGCTATTTTAGAAATGCCTGACACCCCATCTCAGCCAATAATAAATAGGGTCCTCTTGAGGAAGACCTTACTAAAAATAAATAAATAACTAAACCAAGCGCTGGTGTCTCATGCTTGTAATCCAGGCTATTCAGGAGGCTGATAGCTGAGGATCATAGTTTGAAGTCAGCCTGGGCAGGAAAGTATGTGGAGACTCTGATCTCCCATGAACTACAAAAAATCTGGAAGTGGAGCTGTGGTTCAAGTGGTTGAGCAAAAACAAAAGCTCAGGGACAGACAGCACCCAGGCCCTGAGTTCAAGCACACATGCACCAAAAAGAAAACAATGAGTGTAAACTTGCTGGAGGGGAATAGGTTGAGGATGGGAGTGTGTCTGGTGGAATCAACTGCTTCCTGCTGAAGGGTAGAGAAAGGAACAGGGCAAAGGATCTCAGGGAGCCTTAAGACGGGCAAGAGCTCTGGAAGTTGTGATCAAACATGCTTCCCATAAGCAGCCCCACCTGTTGGGAAGTCGAGGAAGAGCTGCCACCACTAGGAGGCGCTGCTGGGAAAACCACCTGATGCCGTGGCTGGACCCCTGCAGCCCAAGTTCCTTCTCCTCGGATCCATAGCCCTGTGCACAGCTCACAGGCTGCAGATGATACTTTCTTGGCACTTTGTCTCAGGTGGTGCTGGTGGTCAGTGCCCAAGCAGGAGTGAGGAGGTGGGGTACAGGAAGGGGAAGCCCCCTTGGTTTCTGTCTCACAGCAGGGACCCAGCAGGGAAACCCCACAAGTCCCCAAAGGAAAGTGGCAGCTTGGGGAAGACTAAGAAACCCCCATGTTCTCCCTGAAGATGGGAATTCCAGGGTGTGGCAAGGCAGGGCCTCCTGGCAGGGAGTGCCACCGCGGTCTCGGTAGACCAGAAGTGTGAGCATTATTGTGGGTCCTGGCTGAGCCTTGATCCTGATTTCACACAACTGCAGAACGGCCACAGGCTGAGCCCGGATTTGGAGCATTGACCGAACTGTGTTATCCCAAGCCCAAGCCTGAGTCTGCACTAAGTCTTTCTAAGTCAGTGTCTCAGCCAGATCTTTGGTTATGCCTGGCACAGGCTTTTGCTCTAGTTTCAAAACCAAACAGAGCCAGAATATTGGCTCTAGATTCTGCATCCAGTCCCAACGCAAGTCTGGACTGTGGATATACTGAGCCTTAATCCTCTCTATGACTCTGGCTAAAGACTGAGGCCATTAGCCTTGGATGGAGCTGACTCTGACCTCAGACATGGCCTTGGACTTGGTCTCATCCATCCCAGAGTCTAGGTATAGATGATCCATCTTTGTGCCAGCACTGAGGATGGCACACTGAGCCCCTGATCACCACACCGAAAGACACATCCAGCCACCATGGAGCTCTGACTTCCCGTACAACCTCAGTTGTCTGGTAAACCAAGAGAGCGAAGATGACTCAAAGCCCCAGTGGGCAATCCCCTTACCTGGCCATCCATCTTGCTGAGGACAGTGGATGGATGATGGTCTTGGTGACTACTAGAAGACAGGACAGGGTTGGGTCTCAGAGCCCCACCAATGGATAGACCTGGACAGCTTGTCCAGGAGTGAGAGACCTGATTGAAGGAAGGCTAGACCTGACAGCAAAGCTTGGATCGACTGAAACCCCAGCTTCCCGTCACCCCTAATCCCCCTCCCCCTGGGAAGGGAAATTACATTTCCCCATTTTAGCAAGGGTGGGGAAGAGGGAAGATTGAGTGAAGACAAAGCCGAAAGTACAAGCAGGATAGAAAGTGAAACCGGGTGCAGCCCCCAGTATAAGACCCCCCTACTCACGAGATGGCTGCACTCGCAGGCTGGGCCCTGACATGGGCCAGGAGGCAGGAGACCTTGGCTGGCGTGAGTCAGAGGCCGAGGCTGGGTAGAGGGGAGGGAGGCTTGCTGGAGATTGGGCTGAGGATGGGAGAGGGGGACAGGGTGGGATGGGGTTAAGGGGTGAGGGGTTGCATCTTGGCCACAAGACTCTGGGTCTGACTGGGGAATGGGAGGGGAGAGGGACAGCTTTACTGAAGTGGAAGGCTTTAGGTTGATTTGATTTGATTTGTGCTCATACTGGGGTTTAAACTCAGGGTATGGGTGTTGTCCTCTAGCTTGCTCCTTTAAGGATGGCACTTTACCATTTGAGTCACCACACCTCCACTTCCAGCAAGCTTTTTGGGTATCTCATGAACTTTCTTGCCTAGCTTTGAACTTTGATGATCGGCTCTCAGCCTCCTGAGTAGCTAGGATTACAGACATGAGCCACCTAAGTGAGCCTAGCTCTATGGAGGGCTTTTATGTATTCGGGAGCCAATAGGACTGATTAACTTGGAAAGATTCCAGTCTGTAGTTGGGGGCTGAAGAAAGCAGGGGCAAGAGCTACGGGTAGGGGCTGGGAATGTGGCTTAGGAGTAGAGTGCTTGCCTAACCTGCATGAAGCCCTGGATTTGATTCCTCGGTACCACATATATAGAAAAAGCCAGAAGTGGTGCTGTGGTTCAAGTGGTAAAGTGCGAGCCTTGAGCAAAAGAAGCCCAGGGACAGTGCCCAGGCCCTGAGTTCAAGCTCCAGAACTGGCAAAAAAAAGAACTATGAGTACAGGAAAAGATGGCAGGGCCAGGTAGGGCTGAGGTTGGAGGATGAAGACAGAGCCCAAGAGCCCAGAATTGACCAGAGAGGGTAGGGATGGCCTGGGGGCTCCAGAGCCCCCAAGAATGGGAAGGAAGAAAGGAGGAGTTGGCACAGTTCAATCTAAGTGAGCACTACCTACCAGGGTCTGGGGGTCCTCACTGTACACCCCCACCCTCTAGAGAACAGGAAGAATCCTGTTCTGCTTTATATCTCCAGGATGCCAGAGAGTCAGAGTGGTCATAAGCCACTTAAGGAGATCTTAGACATTGCCAAATCCCACTGAAAGTTTATGGATTGGGGGGGGGCACATGGACAGCTCCCAAAGCTCTCTCTTAGTCTTTGCTGAGGATTCATGGAAGAGCAGGGCTTGGGCTTACAAGATTGTGCATGGACACACCAGGATCCCAGAGATGAGCGAGAGCAGGGCTGGATCTGGGGTCGGTTTTGGTTTAGGTTTCGAGGGGAATTGTGAAATGCTTGTAATTGTTAGATTTCCTTGCTCTGAGGGAGAAACCGCTGACCCTTGGCTTCTTCCCAGAGCCCCCACCACATGGCTCTGGCTTCCTTCTTTCCAGGAAAACATGGGACTTGAGGCACTCTGGCAGCCATTCTGCCACCGTATAATACATCTGGGGACCTGAGACCCAGAACGAAAAAGGGACTTGCTCAAGGGGAGGCCAGAAGGACAAACAGCCTCAGTCTCCCATTCCTGGCTGCTCTCCCTTTTTGTCCCCTGTCCCTCCCATACTCACTCTGCGATCTGCACCAGGCAGACTCCTGTCCAGTCACCCAGATGCCAGGGAGGAGGCTGGACCAGCCTGTCCTTCTGACTCCCTGGGAGAGAGCCACCTGGGGCTGGCAGGGGGACATTTAAAGTGTTCCAGCTGCTTGGCTGAGCCTGAGGAATCCCTAGCAGAACAGAGAGTCCCCAGATCTGCCTGACAGGATGGCTGCCTTCTCTGAGTTCCCTGGGACACCTGCGGGCTTTGTGTGGGCTGATTTGGAATCCAAGCCTGGCTCTCTCTCCCTCCACTGGCCCTTACTTTCCTTCTTTGAAAACTGGAGAATATGTCAGGTGCCGGTGGCTCACGCCTGTAATCATAGCTATTCAGGAGGCTGAGATCCAAGGATCTCAAGTCAAAGTCAGCCTGTGTAGGAAAGTCTGTGAGACTTATCTTTGATTAGCCACCAAAAGGCTAGAGGTAGAGCTGTGACTTAAGTGGAGAACTCTAGCCTTGAGTGGAAAAAGCTAAGAGACAGCACCCAGGCCCTGGATTTAAGCCTAATAGTAGGAAAGAGAGAAGAAAGGGAGGGAGGGAAGGAGGGAGGGAAGGAAGGAGGGAGGGAGGGAGGGAGGGGAGAGAAAACTAAAGTGATGATCCCAGTGCTTGATCATAGTGTAGGCTCAGGAAAAGCTGGTTCCCTTCCTTCTCTGAAGTTCTCCATCCTTCCAGGGCTCAGCCTGTTGCTGCTTTCCCTGCTTCTGGTACAAGCTGGTGTCTGGGGGTTCCCAAGGCCGCCCCAGAGCCTGAAGGAGTTGCATAGAGAGTTCACCATCAGCCTGCATCTCGCCAGAAAGCTGCTCTCAGAAGTTCGGGATCAGGCCCACCACTTTGTGAGTCTAACACAGCTGGCTCTGGGGATCGGGGAACCCCTTCAAGTCCTGCTGGTCCCCCACTAACAGACCTTATTACTCAGGCTGAATCTCGCCTGCCAGGAGTGAGCCTGGATCTGCTGCCTCTGGGGGAGAAGCTCCCCAATGTCTCCCTGACCTTCCAGGCCTGGCGCCATCTTTCTGTGAGTTGAGGGGTTGGGGGGTGGACTAGGGAGGTGTTGTAGTAAGGCTGGGGCTGACAAGATGACGTGAATTGGGTGGGAGATGAATTGAGGGAGAGAATCTGGAGGAGACTGAATGTGTCATTGGGTATAAAAGGTCGAATGCATCAATGGAGGTCAGGAAAGACATGAGAATGACACGGGGCACGGAAGAAGTAAGGTGGGAATGGAAGGGGTTTGGGAAGAGTGGTTAATGTGGAAAAGATGGGCTGGTGATTGTGACGGAAATGAGAACGACCAGAGATGAGGGGATATGTTGAAAGTCAAATTGGGGGCCATTGCTGGTGGCTCACGCCTGTCATCCTAGCTACTCAGGAGGCTGAGATCTGAGGATCAGGGTTCAAAGTCAGCCAGGACAGGAAAAGTCCATGAGATTTAGTGTTTGTTTTGGGGTTTTGTTTGTTTCTGGCCATGGGGCTTGAACGCTGGGCCTCGGCACTGTCCCTGAGCTTCTTTTGCTCAAGGTGCATGCTCTACCATTTGAGCCACGGTGCCACTTGCAGCTTTTTTGAGTAGTTAATTGGAAATAAGAGTCTCATAGATTTTTCTGCCCAGACTGGCTTGGAACCACAATCCTCAGATCTGAGCCTCCTGAGTAGCTAGGATTGTAGGCAAGAGCCACCAGTGCCCAGTACCATGAATGAGATTCCTATCTCCAATTAACCAGTAAAAGGTCAGCAGTGGAGTTGTGGCTTAATTGGTAGAGTGCTAACTTTGAGTAAAAAGCAACGGTAGAAGGCCCTGAGTCCAAGCCCCAGTATGTGCATCGAAATTTAAAAGAAAAAGGAGGGGAAAAAAAATGGAGAATGGAATGGAGGCTGGAGGCTGAATTGGAAATAAGATCCAGATAGAGAGGGGGTGGGGCTTGATGAGGTCATCCATCCTTGACCTAGCTTGGCCTGTGGCCTACTTTGCTGACTCTTTTCTTCTTCATAGGACCCAGAGCGCCTCTGCTTCCTCTCCATGAGCCTGCAGCCCTTCCATGAACTGCTGAGAAGCTTGGGGGGCCAGGAGGGCTGGACCAGTTCGGAGAGGAGGCAGCTGTGGGCCACAAGGCTGGATCTCCGGGATCTCCAGAGGCATCTCCATTTCCAGGTAGAGTGGAATTGACTCCAAGACTCACACACAAGACTCAGTGGTGGCTCAGAGCTTTCCTAGCATGCACGAAGCCCCAGGCTTGATGCCTCAGTACCACATAAACAGAAAAAGATGGAAATGGCACTGTAGCTCAAGTAGCAGAGCACTAGCCTTGAGCAAAGAAATAGCTTAGGGACAGTGCTTAGGCCCTGAGTTGAAGCCCCAGGACTGAAAAAAAAAATCACACACAAGCCAGCACCGGTGGCTCATGCCTGTAATCCTAGCTACTCAGGAGGCTGAGATCTAAGAATCGAAGTTCAAAGCCAGCCCGGGCAGGAAAGTCTGTGAAACTCTTATCCCCAATAAACCACCAGAAAACCAGAAGTGGCGCTGTAGCTCAAGTGGTAGAGCACTAGCCTTGAGCTGAAGAGCTAAGGGACAGCGTTCAGGCCCTGAGTTCAAACCCCATGACCGACCAAAAAAAATCACATACAAAATTATTTGTCTGCCTTAAAAAATATTCTTATACTAGGCATGTGGTACACACCTGTAATCCCAATGACTCAGGAGGTATAGATAGAATAAGTCTGAGGCCAACCCTGGGCAAAAGTGGGAGACCCTATGTGAAAAATAACTAAAGAAAAAGAAAAAGAGTTGAGTACAGTAACTCATATAGGTACAAACCTAACTACTCAGGAGGCTTAGATCTGAGGATCACGTTTCAAGGCAAACTCAGGCAAAAACTTCTCAAGTCTCATTTCAACATATAAAACACTGGCTATGGAGTGTCATCTCAGCTATGTGGGAAGTGCAAATAGGAGGATCACTAACATGGGCATAAATGGAGACCCTATTTGAAAAATATCTGGGAGCTGGTGGCTCACACCTGTAATCCTAGCTACTCAGGAGGCCGAGATCTAAGGATCGCAGTTGAAAGCCAGGCCCTGGCAGGAAAGGTGGTGAGACTTTTAGTTCCAATTAACTGCAGAAAAACCCACAAGTAGTACTGTAGCTCAAGTAGTAGAGTGCTAGTCTTGAGCAAAAGGAGCTTAGGGACAGTGCCCAGGTCCAGGATTCAAGGCCCAGGAATGCCCCCACCTCAAAAAAAAATTTGGTAGAGTGTCTGTTTTTTTGTTTTGTTTTTGTCTGTCATGGGGCTTGAACTCTGGGCTTGGGCGCTGTCCCTTAGCTCTTCAGCTCAAGGCAAGCACTCTGCTGCTTGAGCCACAGCGCCACTTACAGTTTTCTAGTGGTTTATTGGAGATAAGAGTCTCCCGGACTTTCTTGCCTGGGCTGGCTTTGAACCATGATCCTCAGGTCTCAGCCTCCTGAGTAGCTAGGATGACAGGCGTGAGCCACCGGCGCCGGGCTAGAGTGCCTGTTGAGCAAGCCTGAAGGCAAGTTCAAAATTCCAGGACTAGCCCTCCCCCTAAAAAAAAATATCTCCTCTGCCCTCAGGTTGAGGACATCTGGGGAAGAGACTCCAGACCCCCTGAAAGTGTGGATTACACACTTAGGCTTTGCTCCCTGAGTTTCTGCCTGCGCTTAGGGGCTGGTCTCCAATGACGTCAGTGTCCACTGTCAACAGCAGGCCGACAGCCCAGCCCTCTGATTCGCTGACTTCTCCTGAGTGTTGCAAGGGGCAACAGAAATTTTACCTTTCATGAAAGTAAAATCTGGAGATAATCCTTTTTTTTTTTTTTGGGTCGGTCATGGGGCTTGAACTCTGGGCCTGAGCGCTGCCCCTCAGCTCTTCAGCTCAAGGCGAGCGCTCTACCACTTGAGCAGCGCCACTTCCGGTTTTCTGGTGGTTTATTGGAGATAAGAGTCTCACGGTCTCTCCTGCCCAGGCTGGCTTTGAACCGCGATCCTCAGATCTCAGCCTCCTGAGTAGCTAGGATTACAGGCGTGAGCCGCCAGCACCCGGCTTGGAGATAATCCTTAATGGCAGAGGAACTCTTTGTACCCTATCTCCCTGAATTCCAGCCTCAAGAACAGTCCTGGGAAAGAAACTCAACTCTGCGACCATCACAGAGCTCTATAACTTCCCTCTCGTCTTTTCTTTTCCTCCTTTCTCCAGTGTGCACTTGTGCGTGCGTGTGCACCTGTGCGTGCACGCAGCTACGAAGCTACTAAGGCTTAAACTCAGGGCCTTGTGCTATTACATGGCTTTTACTCTGTTCAAGGATGGTGCTCTACCACTTGACCCACAACTCTGCTTTTGGCTTTTCTGATGGTTAATTGGAGATGAGAGTCTCATGGATTTGTCTGCTTGGGCTGGCTTTGAATCATGACCCTTAGATCTCAGCCTCCTGAGTAAGTAGCTGAGATATGAGCCACTGGCTCTCAGCACCATTTTCTTTTTCTGTTGTTGTTGTTGGTCATGGGGCTTGAACTCTGGGCCTGGGTGCTGTCCCTGAGCTCTTCAGCTCAAGGCGAGTGCTCTACCACTTGAGCCACAGTGCCACTCCCACTCCCGTTTTTCTGAGTGGTTTATTGGAGATAAGAGTCTCTCGGTCTTTTCTGCTCAGGCTGGCTTGGAACTGCGATCCTCAGATCTCAGCCTCCTTAGCAGCTAGGATTACAGGCGTGAGCCACCGTGCCTGGCTTACCTTCCATTTTCTTAGGGGGAAAAAAAAACCAGACTGAGTGCAGACAATTCATGTTTCTAATCTTAGCTGCTCAAGTGTCTGAGATTGGAGGATTTTGGTTTCTAGCCAGCCTGGCTTAGGAAAGTCTTAAGACTCTTGATCTCCAGTTAACCACCCAAAATCTGAAAATAGAGTTGTGGTTCAAATGGTAAAGTGCTAGCCTCGCGCAAAAAAATTTCAGGAACAGGCCATGAGTTCACATCCCAGGACTGGCACTCACACACACACACACACAACATACACACACAAATGCATATAACGTGGGAAGACACTCTGAAAAATTTAAAGCCAAGCTGGCTGAGGAAAACATGGCTTTGGAATTACTGACGTCATGAGGAGTTGCTGAGCACTGAGGTTTATTTGTTTGTTTTGGTTGTGGGGCATAAACTCAGGGCCTGGGTGCTGTCCCTGAGCTCTTTTGCTCATGGGTAGTACTCACCACTTTCAGCCACAGCGCCACTTTCGGTTTTCTGATGGTTTATTGGAGATGAGTCTCACAGACTTACCTTCCCAGGCTGGCTTTCAACTGCCATCCTCAGACCTCAGCCTCCTGAGTAGCTAGGATTATAGGTGTGAGTCACCAGTGCCCGGCACTGGGATTTATTCAGGTTCTCCCTGGGGCCTGTGTGTGAGCTGAGGCTCTTTCCTTACAGGTGCTGGCTGCAGGATTCAGTCCCCCCCGGGAGGAAATGGAGGAAGAAGAGGAAGAAGAGGAGAAGGGGCTGTCCCTAGGGGCTCTGGGCAGCCCCATCCAGGTGTCACCCCAAGTGTCCTGGCCCCCCCAAGTGTCTTGGCCCCAGCTACTCTATACCTACCAGCTACTACGCTCCTTGGAACTTGTCCTGTCCAGAGCTGTTAGGGACTTGCTGCTGCTCTCCAAGGTGGGATACCCAGGCCTGGCTTGGAGCTCCCAAAACCCCGGATGGAGTGATCTTTTAACCGCTTCCTTTCCTCTTTAGGACTGGAGTTTGGGAACAGCTTCCAACATAGTCACCTCAGACCAAGCTGAGCTCTACCACCCCCTCAGTCCCCACCCAGTAACTTAAAGCCCCTTCAGTTCTTGCCACGTATTTATTTCTTGGATATTTATTTATTGTTTGGGAAGACAATCGTTTATTTATTGCTTCATCCTCAGGCGGGGCTGCCATACTGGGTACTTGAATTAAAAGTGAACAAATCTTGCCCTCTCTGTTTCAGCTTCCTTATGCAGGAGGGCACCTGGCACCCATGGGACCCGATGGCCCAGGATGGAGTTGGCAATTTCAGGCTCTACCCTGATCCCTTCTTGGCTCATACATTTGTTGGGATTCTTGATCCACAACCCTCACCCCATTCCAAACCCAGCCTGCTCAGCTGGCAGTTGCCAGAGTAACCAGGAGAGTTCTAGGGCTGCACTGCCATTTTTGAGAAACTCAAGGCAGATATTCTGCTACCCTAACTCATGCTCTTCTGATTCCAAGTGGTGGCCCCAGGCCCTTTGAACCTCTTTCCTCTGGGCTGGCTTCTATGCCAGTAGTATTATCTACACAGCTCTGTGGAGCTGGGCATAGTAGAGTATGAGGGCCAGAAAGGGAAAACTGTAGAACACTAGTGTCCAACCCCCAGTCTTCCTGCTGGAAGAAACAGGTTGGAAAGGTGTTCGTCGCAACAAGTGGACCTGTCACTGGGTCCAGGTGAGGGTTTGTGAAGTTTCCCTCTGAAAAAAAGGGACTCTCCACTTAGGGTCCTTCAGTCCCAGTGGGGGTAATCGGGTGTGGGGGATAATGCACCAGCATTGCAAAATCAGGTTCCTTGGTAGAACGCTCACCTTGAGCTGAAGAGCTGAGGGACGACAGCGCCCAGGCCCAGAGTTCAGGCCCCACGACCGCCAAAAAAAAGAAAAAGAAAAATCAGGTTCCTTATAGTCAAGGTCTTCCATGGATGTTTGGGTTTTGTTGGTTCGGTGAATGACACATTAAGAGACTGAGGAAGTCAGGGGTGAGCAGAGACCAGTAGAACCTTCGGAGTCTCTCTGGGGGGCCTGGCTCACTGGGGTTTCGGCCTCGCCAGTCGGGCTTGTAGTTCTTGCATCATGCCAGGATGAGCCATGCCAAATCTAGGGGTGGGAGAGAGGCCGGTGACACTTGGTCCCTCAGGTCTTCCCCATCCCCCAGGGCAGTGTCCCAATGCTTACCCATGTCCTGTGGGCCTTCTCCTGGCTGGCACTGGGGTCCCTTCAGGTTTGGGGGGGCTTGGCTCCGGGGCTTCCTCTAGCTGAAGAGGTCTGTGTTCAGGAGCTGATGGTTTCTGCTGGGGCTGGGCGCAGGGAGTGTCCTCCTGCTGCTCAGGGACAAGGGGCCGACGGAAAGAGGGCCTCGAGCGCTTCTGGGATGAGCTTCTTGAGAGGAGCACACGGCTCCGTGGGACGGAGACATCCAAGCGGGTCCCAGGGAGCAGAGCCTGCAGAATGGGGGTAGGGTGGAGAGTGGGACACAAGTGGGTTATTGGGTTGGCTTTTATTTCTTCTTGGTGCACCCTGGATCAAGCTTGGGCCCTCACCTCACTCCAGCTGTTGCCAGGATCGTCTCTGGTACTTTCCACGGCTTCTGTGGTCTCCGAGGGTGCAGACACGGCCTCTGCAGAGACCTGGGGTGGTGGCAGCTGCCCCTGGGGCTCCTGGGCCTCCAGGGTCTGGTCTCCAGTCACATGATCCTCCAGGGCTTCTGGCTCCGCCCCCTGGGCCTCCAGGGTCTGGTCTCCAGTCAAGTGATCCTCCAGGGCTTCTGGCTCCGCCCCCTGGGCCTCGAGGGTCTCGTGTCCAGTCACGTGATCCTCCACCCCTAGCAGCTTTTCTGCTTCTCCCTCAGGGTGGTGGTCCCCAGGCTGCCCCTCGCTGCCTTCTCTTGGCTCCTTCACTTGCCCTTCTTTAGTGTCTTCCAGAAGCCCCTCAACCTGTGCCATGGCTTCAGTTCCCTCTGCTCTGGCTGCCTGGGAACCTGACCGAGTGTCATCCATCTCACCAATCCCTTCTTCCATGGTGGATCGTCCCTCCTCGGCCTGTTCTTTCTCCTTGGCCTCACTAGCCTCTACTTGACTACTTGGGCCAGTTGGCTCTTCTGCTGAGCCCACTGCGCCAACCTCCTGCCCACCTTGGTTCTCTCCCTCTATGACTTTCTCCTGCCCTTCAGACTCCCAGCCTCTCTCAGATGCCTCCTCCCAAGAAACACCAGCCTCCTCTTCTGGTCCTTCCCCAGCCTCATCCCCCACAATCTCAGCATCCCAAGAACTGGTCCCTGGGTCCTGGCTGCCTTGAAGACTCAAAACTGCTTCCTCTAGCCTGCAGCCTCCACTGTCTGCCTCCCCTGGCATTGTGACCTCCACTTCACCAGCCTTGCCCTTTCTAGCCTCTGACTCTGCCAGTGACTGGCCTGTCTCTGCCTCCGCCCTTTGGCTTTCTGCTACTGCCTGGTTCTCTCTGTCAGAGGCCTGGCCCTCTTCTGTTCCATGTGTCTGGATCTCTGGCAGTTCAGACAATGGCTTTCCCTCAGCCTCTGCCTCCAGTGCTTGGCTTGCAGCCTCCTCCTCCTCCCCACCTTCAGCATCTTTATCCTCCTGGCCATTTCTGCTCTCTGTGCCTTTCCTCCCCCCGTTTTCAGGATCGACAGGTTCCAGGTGCTGGGGGTGTACCTCCAGCCCCCTTTCTCCCCACTCTTCACTGTGGATTGGGTCTCTCTCAAGCTCATCTTCACCATTCTGCGCTTCCTCAGCTTGCCCAGCTGGAATCTGGGTGCCTCCCCATGGCTCAGGCTCCTGGTATTCAGTGACCTTCACCTCTAGAGCTTTTTGGCTGATGTGAGCCTTCTCATTCCTCTCATCTATGAACTCCTCCTCAGGCCTGGCCTCTGGGATTGCCTCTACATCTGTTTGATCTTCAACTTCATCGTCCAGGGCCAGTCTAGCAGCTGGGGCCTGATAATGCCCCTCCACCCTCTGGGTCTCCTCTTCCTGACTGGCCTTGTCAACGCTGACTGTTAAATCCAGGCTCCTCACAGTCTCTTTACCACACAGGTCATCCTCCCCTTCACCATCCCCTGCCTTCTCCTGTTTCTGGCCTTCAGTCTTTCTTTCAGTTGTCTGTCCATCTGCTGCTTTCTCTGTTCCCTCAGGCCCTAAGACCTGGGTCTGTGTGAGGAAAAGAAGCCTTCTTTCCATATCTCCCCTCTCATCTACTTCCTCCTCCTTATCTCTCTGGGGGACCCAGACTCTTTCAGTAGCTTCTGGAATGCTTTTTCCAAAGTGGAGTCCATAGTCTGTTTCCTTGACTTCTAAGAAGTCAGTGTCCTCCCTGCCTGAAGCCTCGCCAGCCTCCTCTTTACCTGGGGCTATCCAGTCTCCAGATTCTGTCCCTGGGCCCTGTGTACTCTCTAATACCCTTGAGCTCTCTCCACCCCACACCACCTCCATCCCCACTTCTTCCCTCGCAGTCTCTTTCTCTCCAAGCCCTTTAGTTTCAGTGGCTGCTTCCTCGTCTCCCTGTTCGGTCTCCCTGCCACTGTCTGCCACCTTCTCCATACTCAGCTCAGGCTTCCCTGGCTGTGGCTCCACCCCTCTGGCCATCCCGCGCCCTGTCACCCAGCCATCTTCCTCCTCCTGCTGTTCCCAGGTTCTCAGTGTCTCCCCTCTGCTCACTTCCTGCTCATTGGCTTCCTCGCTGTTCTCCAGGGCTCCACTGCTCCTGTCTTGTTGAGTCTTAGGCCCTGCCTCAGACTCCAAAGGGTCACTTGGCTCCTGGCCCTTGACTACCTCCCAGGTGCCAGTATCCTGCCTCTCTGCTTGGGACCCATGGGAGGTACCTGCTCTCCATCCCCAGGTCTGTTCGGTTGAGCTTCCCTCCTGGCATGTTCCTGTCCTTCCAGACCCTTCCAGTCCTCCATTCCCCTCACCTGGGCTACCTCTAAGACGCTCTACAATCTCCCCTGCTTCCTCCTCTAGAGGTTCCTCTGGTTTTCCTGTCGCCACCTCCTCTAGTTCTCGGGCCGCCTGTGCCTCCCTCTGTACCGTAGGGACCTCATCTCCTATGAGGTAGGCCACAAAGGTGCTGAGTGAATCCTAGAAGACAAATGAGAGGAGGGTGAAGGCATTCAGAGGTGGTTCTCCGGAGGGTCCTGGGCCAGAAGAGTCCAGGGTAAAAAAGAGGGATCCTGAGATCAGAAAGGAGACAGACAGACAGAGACTGGGATGTACAGAAGAATAAGAAAGAGAAAGAATTGGGCTTGGAAGAGGTATGGACACACTTGTGGAGGTGAGGGATTGAAATCCAGAAAACACTGGGTGAGAAGGCCTATCCAGTCCTAGGAAAGGGACCTGAAGTGTGAGGACCAGCTCTAGGGAAGAGGGAAGGTAAGGCAGCAGGGAATGGAGTGGAAATCTCTAGCATCTTTTTGCCCCTCTCACCAGTGCCCCCCTCAAGGCCTGATGCAGCCCAGGGAGGTGCTGCCGAAGGAAGTCCATCCCGTCGGTCTCTACGAGTCCAGAGAGCTGACACTGACTGTCCCCACCCACTCTAAACCCTTTCTGGCCAGGACCAAGACACTTCCTCTTCCCCTCTCTCTCCCAGACGCCTCTCCACTCCGGGCCCTGAGCACCTCCCCTTTGCCCAAGGCAACCTCTACTCTAGGTATGCATGACTCTAAGGAATCTGGATCACAGCTGGATCTAAGGGCCAAGGACAAGGCCACAGAGCAAAAAATTAGGCTCAGAAGACCTCAGAATTGAGGTGTGTATGTTGGGGGGGAAAGGGGGAGTTGGGACAGGACATGTGGCAATTGCAGCCCAAAGTGACTCAGGTCTTCTATTCACACCTCAGCCATTTCCGTGTCTTTTAAGCCACAGCCACGTGGGGAGAGGAAGCTGGGGTTTCTAGTTCCTGTTTTGCCTGGGGACTGGTGAGAGCTCTGACTTCCTGCTTGGATGTCACCAATGCTTCCTTTAGAGAAAGAAAGGGCTGGATTGGTGGCTCCACTGCCCGTCCCCTCACTTATGGTTAACCTGGCAAAAGAGAACCTAATGCAAGTGTATTGTGGTTATATTTGTCTCTCTGCCACCTCCAGTAAGTGCCTTGAGGTCAGAGGCCATGTATGAAAGGTTGCAGAATTTCACCTTGATATCTAATCTAGGAATAACAGCACAAGAGGCATATTTTATTTATTTTTATTTTTAATTTTAATTTTGCCACTTCTGGGGCTTGAACACAGGGCCTGGGCTTTGTCCCTGAGCTTCTTTTGCTCAAGGCTAGCACTCTACTACTTGAGCCACAGCGCCACCTCCAGCTTTTTCTGTTTATATGGAACTGAGGAATCGAACCCAGGGCTTCAGGCATGCTATGCACACATTCTACCACTAAGACACATTCCCAGACCCAAAGGACGTATTTTAAACAGCAGTCTGCAGGTCTGGTGGTAGGAAAGATCTGGTAGAGGTGGGCACAGGCTTTTGGAAGCTGTAGCAATTTATCTGAAGGACTTGATGAAGAGAACTCAAGATGATGCTTTCTTACCTAGAAGAAAGGTAAGTGCATGGATCCTTATTGGAACTATGTAAAGTAATAGGACCCTTCTCTCCAGACTAAATTGGAGTCTGTACTAAGAATTGTCTGGTCTAAACACCCTTGATTTGGGGGAGGGAGTGTTCCTACAGCAAATTCATCAGTGACTTCTATTGCTCTACTTTTTTTTTTTTTTTTGGTCCTGGGGCTTGAACTCAGGGCCTGGGATCTGTCCTTGAGCTCTTTTGTGCTCAAGGCTAGTGCTCTGCCGCTTGAGCCACAGCCACTACCAGCCTTTTCTGAGTAGTTTATTGAAAACAAGAGTCTCACAGACTTTTCTGCCTTGGATGGCTTTGAACTGCAATCCTCAGATCTCAGCCTCCTGAGTAGTTAGGATTACAGATGAGACCAGCATCTGGGCACCCTCTTTCTTTTTCTTTCTACCAGCATCTGGGCACTCTTCCTTCCTTCCTACCTTCCTTTCTTTCTTTCTTTTTTGTGGGGGGGGGGGAATAGATTTCCTGGGTGCTTTTTGTTTTTTTGTTAAACCAAAAATTGGACTATTTTTGCAGCCTTTTTTGTTTTTAGGATAATTTGGAAGAGCGGTTTTAAGGCAAGCCTCAACCACTGGGTTATAATCAGTCTTTTTAAGTTTCTAAAACAGCCTGTAGAACATCGGATAAGACTAAGAATGAACTAAGGCTTTAATTCTTATCAGCACCTGTTTGGACTTGAGGAAAAAGGGTGGAGTGGATGGGTGGGCTGGCAGGTAGGAAGGAAGAAACGAAGAGAGGGAGGGAGAGAAGACAGAAGGAAGGAAGGAAGGAAGGAAAGTAAGGCTGTCAGTTGGCCGCCATGTTTGTTTCTGGCAAGTCAGAGCGGCAGAACAGGACCTGAAGCCGCTCGCGCCATGACTAGTGCTGGCACGACCCTGGCTTCCTCCCTGGACGCCGCTAATCGTGGCTCGGCTTGCTGCCCGCGTCTGTACCAGCTTAAGACCAGGGGTTCCGGGGCTGACGTCTCACCTGCTCACGCCCCGAAGCTAACGAGGCCAAAAAGCGAAGGCAGGGGACCCGGAAGTACGGTAGCCCTTCTGAGCACGTGATGGGGGAAGCCACGGCTGACGTCACGTGATCGCCCCACCTCCCACTGGAAGGTGCGGAACGCTCGGCTGCTCTTAAAGGTACAGGCCCGCGGGAGGTGGGGGGGGGGCGCGGCGGAAGCTCTGTTTTCGAAGGGGCGGGGTGGGCACGAGAGAGAGTTCCAGACTTCGGCTGATGGATCGCGGGGCGCGAGTGCGGCCGACAGCCGGAGCCGAGCCGGGCCAGGGGGCGTTGATCCTGGGTACCTGTCGCAGATCCCCGTCTGTCTCGTTGGAGCCGACCCTGGACCCTCGTTGACGTTGGACCCTTCGGGGCATCCGCACTGGATGTCATGGGAGGCTGTGCGGGCTCGCGGGGACACCTTTCGGATTCCGACAGTAGGTCCTCAGGCTGGTCCGGTTGGGCGGGATCACCTGTGCCCCGCGGCCCACCGCGGGTGGGACGGACCCCCCCCAGGGCCCTGAGGATGGGTGGGGGAAAAGCCCTCCGCTTCTCTTCCTTCCAGGCGAGGAGACCGCCTCGGAGCCTCAGGCCCCTCTGTTGGGTAGTCAGGGCGCCCATTGGAAGAATGCGGTGGGATTCTGGTGAGTGGCCCGAGAGTTCTACAGAAGTTAAAAAGTGCGACAGCTCCCATCGAGAAAAGAATTGATCTGAGAAAGGAAATCCACAGTTGCACTGGCTTGCCTTTGGGCTGCCTGTGACTTTCCCAAGTTTACTTACTTGCTTACCACCTTGCCCTGTTGGCGCTATGTTGTCTTTCAGCTAACAAAAGCCTCAAGTGTGTGTGTGTGTGTGTGTGTGTGTGTGTGTACTGGGGCTTAAACTCAGGGCCTTCAACTCACACTTGGTTTTTATGTTCAATGCTGAAGCCCTACCTCATACTAACTGCTTTTTGGTGGTTAATTGCAGCTAAGAGTCTCATGGACTTTACTAAACAACTGGCTTCAAACCATGATCCTCAGATCGCAGCCTCCTGAGTAACTGCGATTATAGGCGAGAGCCACTGGTGCCTGACTAACAACACTTTTTTCCCCCTTCGGTAGCTGTAAGTGGGCTTGAACTCAGGTTCAAATGCTCTAGCTTGGCTCTTTTGCTCAAGACTGGCACTCTACCACTTGAGCCACAGCTCCACTCCAGCATGTTAATATATCCCTATTTTATAGATATGTAGACTTGAGGTCACTGAAGTAAAAAGCAATAGACTTGAAATCTGAACCCAGTCTTTTGTATTTCAAGCCCTGGAATGTTTTTATTGTAACCCATGCATCAATGGCTGTGAAATGGTCCAGGAACTGAGTTGTAGTGGGAGCTCAGAGGGCAGAGTAGTTCCAGACATTTCCCTGGGGAAAGGTCTTGGAGGTAGGCTATGAACCCAGGCCTGATCCCAAACCTCTCAAATTTCTTTTTTCCTTCCTTTCTTTCTTCAAATTTCTTTTTTCTTTTTTTTTGTTCAGCCATGGAGCCTGAACTCTGAGGCCTGGGCACCATCTCTCAGCTCTTCAGCTCGTGGCTAGCGCTCTACCACTTGAGCCACAGCACCACTTCTGGCTTTTTCTGCTTATGTGGTGCTGAGGAATCGAACCCAGGGCCTCATGCATGCAAGGCAAGCGCTCTTCCACTGAGCCACCTTCCCAGGCCACCTCTCAGATTTCTAAGCCCAACAACTGAAAGATTGGTTTTGGCAGGCATTGATGACTCCACCTGTAATCTTAGGTACTGAGATTGAGATCTGAGGATGGAGGTTTCAAAGCCAACCTATGCAGAAAAGTCCTTGAGACTCTTATCTCCAATTAACCAGCAAAAAGCTAGAAGTAGTGGTATGGCTCAAGTGGCCAAACGCTAGCCTTGGGCAGAAAAGCTGGGTGAAAGTGAGAGGCCTTGAGTTCAAGCCCTGGTACTGGCATTAAAAAAAAAAAAAGTGAGTGAGTGAGCTGATTGAAAGGATTCATGTGTAATCTCTAGAAGGAAACTGGATGGGGGTCTGACAGGAAATTATCTGTCCTGCTTCTTTTCAGGTTTCTGGGCCTTTGTAACAACTTCTCCTATGTGGTAATGCTCAGTGCTGCACATGACATCCTTAGCCACAAGAAGGAAGCTGGGAATCATACCCATGTAAGTGAGCCTCCCCAGCCCTGCCACCATGGTTAGTCCCATGGCAAGCTGAGAGACTTTCCCTGGGACAGGGGGCCCTTGAAAATCTCATAAAGTAGCCAGTTGGTAAGGCAGGGAGACAGGAAGACTCCTGGTCTTCATCTCCTAGACGCCCCCCCGGGCAGGGAAGCAGCTGTGTCCGACTGTGATTCATGACAGAGTGTCTTCATTTGGGTTGTATTGACAACAGTTAGGACTGGGTGATTCTTTGCTGTGGAGCAACCTGTGCACTGTAGGATATTTACCAGTGTCCTCCTCTGCCACAAGATGCCAGTAGCACCTCAGGACCACCAAGAGTGCCATGAAGAGCCTGGCGCCAGTGACTTATGCCTGTAATCCTAGCTACTCAGGAGGCTGAGATCTGAGGATTGAATTTCAAAGCCAGCCAGGGTAGAAAAGTCTGTGAGATTCTTATTTCCAATGAACTACCAAAAAGCTAGAAGTAGAGATATGGCTCAAGTGGTAGAGTACCAGCCTTGAGTGAAAAAAGCTCAGGGACAGCACCTAGTCTCTGAGTTCAAGCCCCAGTATTCACACACACACACACACGTCAGCACAGAGCGGGCCTTGGACTCTGTCTACCCTTCTGCCGTCCAGAGGGAAGACTCTCTTTTATTCTATCAGGTGGATCCAGGCCCAATACCCATCCCACACAATGGCTCATCTCGGTTCGATTGCAACTCTGTCTCCACAGCTGTGAGTATACATGTGCCCCCTCCCCCTCCTCAACCCAGATCCTTCCACCTCTCAGTACCTCGCTGGGACTGTCACTATCATCATGATCAGGCACAGTTCCCAGGCCTTTTCTGCAAGCAGCATGTATTAGCTCCCATAATGCACATAGTAGTCCTGGGAACCAGATGCTGGAAGCATCTCTGTTTTTCCCAGGTGAGGAACCCAAAACTCCGTGCATACAGATGCCCCTGACACACCGCTAAGGGCCACCAGAGCTGGGACATGAGGCCCAGATCTGCCTCTGGAGCTTGAATTTGCTATAGCTCTTGCTGGCTGGGTCCAGCCTTTTCCTCTCCATGTGGTTTAGTCCCTGGAAATCACTCTGTTCTCCCATCCTAGGCGGTGCTCCTGGCAGACATCCTCCCCACCCTCCTCATCAAATTTCTGGCTCCTCTGGGCCTTCACCTGCTGCCCTACAGGTCTGGAGCTTGATGGTGGGAGAAAGGGTAGACTAGATCACAGAGTGGGGGAGACAGGAAGGCTCAGGAGGCTGGAAGGCCCAGACTGGAAGCTGACTCTCCCATCCCCTTCTTCTCTTGACTTTCAGCCCTCGAGTTCTGGTCAGTGGAATTTGTTCTGCTGGCAGCTTTGTCCTGGTGGCCTTTTCTCATTCAGTGTGGGTCAGCCTGTGTGGTAAGGGTGCTGTTCCGTGTCAGAGAGGGATCCCCAGCAGAGAATGGTGGGTGTGGCAACGAGGGGGGGAAGAGAGGGTGATTTGCGGTCTCTCCAGCTTCCCCTAGGAAAAGAATTATTTCTGCTAGGGCTCTCAGGAGCAGGAGATTGGGTCAATGTGGAGGGCTTGGTGGGAGGAAGTGGGTGGATTGGAGGATGGAGATTGAGCTGCGCAGATCCTGCAGGCCTCCACCAGGGGGCTCAAGAGGAGGAGCGAAGGAGGAGTCCTTAGAGGGGATCATTCTCTGCACAAGAACCTGTAGAAAGGATCTGGTTGGCTCTACTTCAGTTGGAGCCTTGCCTTGCCAAGGGATCTTTTTTGGAGTTGTGGTTACCAGTACTAGGACTTGAACTCAGAACCTGGGTGCTGTCCCAGGATTTGAGTTCAGCTTTTTCACTCAGCGCTGACAGTCTTTATTACTTGAGCCATACCTCTACTTCTGGCTTTTTGCCACTTAATTAGAGATAAGAGTCTTATGGACTTCTCTCTTGGAGCTGGTTTGGAACTATGATCCTCAGATCTAGGATTATGCCACGGATGCCCAGTTCCAAAGGATCTGTTTTGAATTCCTATGAACAAATCCAGCAAGCGAGGCTGGGGTTGTTGGAGAAAGGCCACCATGTGTTTTGTCCTTCCAGGTGTGGTATTAGCCAGCATCTCCTCAGGCCTGGGGGAGGTCACTTTCCTCTCTCTTACCGCCTTCTACTCCAGGTAAGCTGAATGGGCAGGGCACCAGGAGAAGGGCGACCCCTGCTGGCTTCTCTCCTGAGTGCTGTATGTTCTCTTCTAGGGCTGTGATCTCCTGGTGGTCCTCAGGCACTGGGGGTGCAGGCTTGCTGGGGGCACTGTCCTATCTGGGCCTTACCCAGGCTGGCCTCTCTCCTCAACACACCCTGCTTTCCATGCTGGGGATCCCTATCTTGCTGCTGGCCAGGTGAGTGGCCCTGCACCAGAGGAGAAACATGATCCCAGTCTTCAGATCCCTTCAGCCTTTCTATGGAGGGAGCCGGGTTCTGAGTTCTGAAAGCCTAGGGTCTGAGTCTCAGAGCTTACATTTGTAGCTGTGTGGCATTGGACAAATTCCTTCATCTCTCTGGCTTTGTTTCCCTGTGTCTTAGATGATGGTGGTTCTCCTTTTATTCCTATGAGGTGTGACAAGTATGGCATGCTCAGCACAGGGGAATTGGGGGGGGGTTCCTTAGAAGGTGTGAAGTAGGACAAGGGTACACTTCTTTCTTTTCTTTTTTCTTTTTTGGTCAGTTGTGGGGCTTGAACTCTGGGCACTGTCCCTGAGCTCTTCAGCTCAAGGCGAGCACTCTACCACATGAACCACAGCAACACTTCCAGTTTTTTTGTGATTAGTTGGAGATAAGAGTCTCATGGACTTTGCTGCTAGGGCTGGCTTTGAGCCATGGTCCTCAGATCTCAGCCTCTTCAGTAGCTCGGATTATAGGCGTGAGCCCTGGCACCCAGTGGTAGACTTTCTTCTGCAGATTTTTGTTGTTGGCAGTGTGCTAGATGGAACGCAAGGCCTCTCCTTTGCTAGGCAGGTATTCTGTCACTTGAGTCAGGCCCCAGCCTGTTTTTGCATTAGTTCTATTTCACATAGGGCCTTGGGTTTTTGCCCTAGGCTCCCCTTGACCATGGTTCTCCAACCTGTCTCCCTGTAACTGTAATAACGAGCATGAACCACCATACCCGTCCCAGGCTTGTTGATTGAGTTGGGATCTTTTTGTCTAGGCTGGCCTCAAAATACAATCCTCCTGATCGCTGCCTCCTACAGAAGCCATCACACCCAGCCTCTCTGTATTTTCTTTTGTACTCATAAACTATTAACTGGCCATTTGAACCTGTGACTTCACATATTATGACTTAACATGAGGCCAGCAGAAAAGACGAATGAGGTACTGGGTGCCAGTGGCTCAGGTCTAGCTGCACAGGGAGCTGAGATCTGGATGATCACAGTTGGAGGCCCGCCCAAGCAGATACTTCTGTGAGGCACTTATCTCTAGTGAACTAGCAAAACCAGAAAGTGGAGGTATGGATCAAGTAGTAGAGCACCAGCTACAAATGTAAAAAGCTGAGCAAGAACCTGAGGCCCTGAGTTGAAGTCAGTAACACATACATACACAGAGACACACACAGACACACACACACAAGAAAAAGGAATCAATTTTATGAAAACTTTTCTTTTTTGGGGGCCAGTCATGGGGCCTGAACTCTGGGCCTGGGCGCTGTCCCTCAGCTCTTCAGCTCAAGGCTAGCGCTCTACCACTTGAGACACAGTGCCACTTCTGGCTTTATCTGCTTATGTGGTGCTGAGGAATCGAACCCAGGACCTCATGCATGCGAGGCAGGCACTCTACCACTGAGCCACCTTCCCAACACCTATGAAAACTTTTAAGTAAAAATGATTATACAGCCAGAAATAATATGGATATGGAAATAACATGAAAGCAGAGCATAAGTGAGTAAGATGGGCGGCTATGGCCTAGCACAAAGTTAATGAGTCCTGGGAGGCTGAGGTAGGAGCATCATATATTTGAAGCCAGCCTGTGCTATATAATGAGACCCAATCTCAAAAACAAAACCCAAACCACATAGTAAATGATAACTAGAACAATCAGTAGCCTAACATGAGAAAGAAACAGAAATGACCTGTTCAGTGCGACACAGCAGTCAACCAAGGGTCCAGCTAGAAACAAGGAGACACAATACAGCTCTGCAAAAAGAAGCAGAGGCTTGGGAATATGGCTTAGTGGTAGAGTGCTTTCCTAGCATGCATGCAGCCCTGTGTACGATTCCTCAGTACCACATACACAGAACAAAGCTAGAAGTGGCATTGTGGCTTAAGCTCAGAGACAGCGCCTAGGCCCTGAGTTTAAGCTGCAGAACTGGCAAGAGAGAGAGAGAAGCAGAGCTTGGTGTTGGTGGCTCACACCTATAATTCTAGATATCCAGAAGGCTGAGATCTGAGGATCACAGTTCAAAGCCAGCCTGGCAAGAAAAGTCCATGTGACTCTTAACCACCAGAACTCTGGAAGTAGAGCTGTGGCTGAAAGTAGTAGAGTGCTAGCCTTGAGCAAAAAGTTCAGAGCCAGCACCCAGGCCAAGCCCCATGACTGAGAAAAAAAAAAAAAGAATCAGAGGTCCACAGGTGGGGTCCTCCACACAGGGCAGTGAGCTGCCCATCTAGCAACATATAGATGTGTGGGGTTCCTGGGGAGAGTGGCCTTCAGGGCCTCTGGCAGCCTTTCCAGACACAGAGGGGCTCATTGACTTTGCTCATTCTGTCCCTTCCCCATACCCTCCAGCTATTTCTTGTTGCTCACGGCTCCTGAGCACGACCCTAGAAGGGAAGAAGAGGCAGACACCGCAGCTCAGCAGCCCCTCATAGGCGTGGATGCCCCAGCATGTAAACCAAGTAGGTGCTGTGGCCTCGCTGATGGTCCTCTTCTCTTTTTGGATGTTAGTCTTTTTCTCCCTATACTCCACAAATCTAGGGTTGGGGTGGGTGTCCTGCCTATGGTGAAAACATGCATGTGTCACTCAGTAGGGATTCTGAGATTCCCTGGGTGTGATACTGGTATCCAAGATGAAAAAAAATGACACAGGCTCCTAAACGAGACAGTGAGCCAGATGTAAGCTACCTTCACCATTTTCTTTTCTGGTACAGGTACTGGGGTTTGAACTCAGGGCCAGGGTGTGCTATCCCATTACTTTTTTAAAAATTCAAGGCTAGCCAGGCATTGGTGGCTCACATGCCTGGAATCTTAGCTACTCAGGAGACTGAGATCTGAAGATGACGGTTCAAAGCCAGCCCGGGCAGGAAAGTCTATGAGACTCTTATCTCCAATTAACTACCAGAAAACCGGAAGTGGCGCTGTGGCTTAAGTGGTAGAGCTCTTGCCTTGAGCTCAGGGATCATGCCCAGACCCAGAGTTCAAGGTCCATGACCAAACAAAAGAACTCAAGGCTGCCACTCTGACCACTTGAGCCACAGCTCCACTTGTTGCTTTTTTTGCTAGTGAGTTAAAACTAAGAGTCTCAAGAATTCTGCCTGGGGCTGGGAAGGTGGTTCAGTGGTAGAGCGCTTGCCTTGCATGCATGAGGCCCTGGGTTCGATTCCTCAGCACCACATAAGCAAAAAGAAAAAAGCCGGAAGTGGTGCTG